GAGATTGATGAATACATATAAAACAAATTTTTATTCTTCCTCTGTTTACTCTTGTTTTACACTATCCRAGTAGAGAGTTGTAAAAGTTGGGCTCAAAGATAGTACATTTTAGGGAGAGGATACCATCAACCCTTTAGTTAATAAACAAAACTAAGGACAGAGAAAATTACAGAGAAGCCCAATACAAGGAGACCCGAGTAGCCCCTTGTTTAGCAAGATAATCAGCCAGGGCACTAGCCGATCTACCCATCCACTGAAATCTGACTGTCATATCCCTCAATAGCCATTTAACCTTTATTTAAAATATCCTTAAGGTCCCAAGTGACAGTACCTGGGTCAGCCAACCATCCTACTACCACTTTGGAGTCTCCTTCAATTATTAAGTTTTGCACTCCAAGTTGATAAGAAATCTGTATCCCCTATTCCACAGCTAGGAGTTCAGCCCTCATAGAGTCTCCTATTCCAATCGGTCCCGAGAAAAGGGCAATGATGTTGTTGTTCTCATTTATCAGTACACCACCAATACCAGACGGTCCTGGATTACCCTGACTACTCCCGTCAAAGTTCAGCTTAACAAAACCCTCCACCAGCGGAGTCCAAGTTACTTGAACTCTAGGCTTCCTAGAGGAAGTGAGGGCAACTGCAGACCAATTCCTCATTAAATCATCGAAGGAGTAATTTTCAAAGATCTTTAAGGATTTCAGCCACAAAATAGTCCTTGTCAAAATACACTCCTTGACCTCAAGAATGGTTCTTTTCTTCTTCTGAAAAATTCTGGAATTTCTCTCTTTCCAAATAGTCCAAAGGAGAGCTGCTCTTATACACTTTAACATAATTCTCCCTCTTCTTGTGGTCCACACAAAGGTAGATAGAGAAAACAGCAAATTTACCTCAGCTAGCAAGTTCCACCTGCACTCAAACAAATCAAATACCCAATTCCAAATGGCTGCAGAAAAAGGACAGGAAATCAATAAGTGGTAACAGTCCTCATTCTGTGCTTTGCACAAAGTACACCAGTTAGGGGATAAACACAAGAAAGGTCTTTTCTTCTGCAGGTTATTCATCGTATTGATTTTATTGTAGTAAACTTCCCAACAAAAAACAGCTATTTTTGGGGGAATAGGCCTAGACCAAACTTCCTTAACTGGGAAAGCCCAAGGAGAGGAACTAAAGCAAAGGGATTTAAAGAAAGTTGCACAAGTAAACGACCCCAAAGATACAATACAATACACCCGATACAGGGCATATCGTATCAAGATTTTGATCCTTGATTGAACTCTCAAAAATTTCAAAACCTGAACCAATAAGCAAGGGAAGAACTTAAAATTTTGTCTAATCAACACATTTTCTTCTTCCTCATCTTCTTCTTCTTCTTCCACCTTTTATTTTCTTCTTTCCTATAACAAAAGTAGGGGTTCTGCCCCTATATTTTTTGAATTTTCTTTGCTTTGTTCTTTTTCTTCTCATAAAATGTTGATTTTCTAGACTTAAACATGAAATTTATACTTCTTTTATGAAAATTATGAATAATTATTAAGGAAAGAGGGTTATGGAACCTAGGGAACTACCCTAGGATATATGGTTTTACTTAAAAAAAATCCATCGCCTATGCGTCGCCTAGGCACCCGCCTAGGCGGCGCCCCCCTGTCGCCTAGCCTCGCCTTGGCTCCTTGAAAACTATGATGTCTTGCTTGGGTATTTGTTGGGCATCAGGCTGGTTTCATTTTCTGGTTTCTTGTCTTTTTTTTTCTTGTATTGTATTGTTATTGGGTAAGGGGCTTTCGTTAGTTGGTTCTTATTTTAGTTTGGTTCTGAATTTGGTTGATTTGGATTTGTTTTTGTCTTATCGGGGTTCTGTTTGGGTTGGCCTTTCTTTTTGGGTGATTGATTATCACCTCGTATCTTCTTTTTGTTTCAATAAATTCTTTTCTTTTATCTTCAAAAAAAAAAAAAAGGATTTGAACTCTCCCTGATGGAAACCCTTCTTTCTCTTCTCTTCCCTCTCTATCTTCCTTGCTTCCTCTGACTGAACAGGGTTTCTACCTTTTATCTTTTATTTTCTTATCTTTCTAACAGGTTTGTTTCTAAGGAGATCACGCAATTATTTTGGTACTTGTGAATTGATGTATCTAAAAACACTTTTACAGGAGTTTGGGTGTCCTATTACAAGTTCTATAAACCTGTATGGTGACAAAAAAGCTGCAATTGATATAGCTTATGATCATTTTCAGCACAACAAGATCAAACACATTGAGGTTGACATAACACTAATTGGGAGAAGGTTGCTTCCAAGGAAATCTTTTTTGTTACCCCTCTTTGAGGCTGACTGATGAAATACAGTCTCTCACTGTATACTTTTTTGGGGCTGGTCCTTTCATGGCCTATAGCACAAAGCAGCCTTCAGGTCACTGACACCTCATTTGTCAACATGTTAGAGTGAGAAACATTTTTAAACAGATTGCTTCTAACAAATCAGGAGTATATTCTAGCTACAGTTTTCCTGGAGATTTCCTACCAAATTCTTCAAATGATCACAGCAGGAATTGCTCTCCATATTAGTCTACCCCTGTGATTTAGACCTTTTAGTTGCCACCCACAAAGAACCTCCACTACTGATTTTGGGAAGCACCAGTACACATTCAAACTGCTCAAAGAAATGCTCCGATTTTTCAATGCCACTTGGCAATGATTAAAGAGGTGATCATTAGATTCAATAGGAAATCTACAGAAGGTACAGCCTAAGTATAGCAATTCTAGATCTCCTTTTGCCCAAGTTATCTTTTGTAAGGCATTTATCCAATGAGGCAGTCCAATGCATGAAAACAAAGAGGTTTGGAGGGTGTAAAAATTAAATATGAATAGTGCCAGAATTTTCGAGAACCATTTTAACAGGAAGATGATGGAGATTGTGGTTCATAGTTCCGGACAATTTTATCTTTGGTGAGTGCTATGATTTCTGGTAAAAATTAAATATGAATAGTCCAAGCAGAGAAAAAAAAAAGTAAATATGAATATTCCAAGCAGAAGAAATAGGGAAGCAACAATCAGGTATACAGTTTTTTTTCTTGATCTCATCCAAGCAGAGAAAAAAAAAAAACAGAAAGGAGGAGAAGAATAAAGAGATGGTCCAAGAGTGCTGACCAGATCAATCCTGGATACGATACCATGTAACTTCTAAGAACAAGTATTAGATGGACAGAAGATAGAAGAGAGGACCAGATGTTGTAGAGGAGAAACAAGAGCCTGCCAAACTTGAGAGAAAGTGATGCTCCCGATTGGTTAGGCCTCTTTTATATTATCTATTAAAATTAGATAAGATTACAGAATTACCCCTTTAAGTAAATAATATTTGACTGACTAATCTGCCCTTAAAAGGGCAGCCCAGTGCATGAGGGTTCTGCCAATGTGGGGTCTGGGGAGGGACAGATGTAATCTACCCTCACTTCAGTAATAACAGTAAACAGACATAAGTACCCCTATCTATAAATAAACTAATGGAGAACAATGAATGAATGAACAAGAAACCATCTAACCATTCTGAACACATAGAAAAGGTTTTATTGTTATGAAACTTGCAATATGGAAAGGATGATTTAAGGCATGGGGACCCTTCTAGGTCTACCACATTATCTTCTCTTTGTGGTCTTACTTTTCCATGTTCTTTCTGCAAAAGTAGCTGTGATTTTTTATTTTTTATTTTCACACTTGATGCTTCTCATTACATTCTTCTCTACTTATGAGGATTCATGTGCTGCTGGAGGTAATTGGAGCAATGGAAGAATGCCAGATGATCCTTTCTGATCCCTGATGTCAATTTCATTTATCATTTATACAGATGAAAGGAGAGAAGGAACTTATTGAAAAGATATTGCAAACAGAGATAAATATTTTCCGTTCAATCAGAGATGGGAGTGCACTTATGCAGCATATGGAGGATTTTTATTACATCACATTGCTAGAGGTATTATTTGACATTTCATCCAAGACATCTCATTGATATTTATAGTTTAGGGGTAACTTTATCTACTTATTCAGTATCTCTTAGGTGTAACAGTTGCTGCTTACAAAAATAAGGGACCTTAAGGTCTTTTTTTTTTTTTGTTTAAACTCATATCATTGTTCCTTTCATCCATGATCTGTGGGTGCAGACACAAATGTCATGCTTTGGCACTGACATGGAATGGACACAGAAAGTCCCTAAAATCTAGAAATGCAGGCATGGCCCAATAAAATAATGATCAATTTGACATTTATATATGTGCAATGCTTGTGCACTTAAAATTTTACAAATGGAAACATGGGCAATTGCCTAATGATGGTCTTAGCTATCCAGCATCTTGGGAGGGGTAGACCAGATAAAGACCTAACCTTTGGCATTCTCTTGCACAAAGTGGCTGCTCTCAGACTATAACCAACATCCTTGCACTTGTCAGCCTGAGATTTTAGAATTGCACCAACCACTGGCTCTATATTTAACCAAATTTGAGATAATAATAAGTGTAACCATTGACTACTATGGTTCATGAATTTCCAAAAAATATAGTGTGTTAGAAATTATATATATTCATTATATTATTGGTCAGCAGGGGCATACTTGTCATTCTCCTTTTATTTCTTTTATTATTTAAGTAAGGTCGTGAATGTAATTTTACATATTATTATTTTTCTAATAAAATGGGTGGCAGTTGAGATCAGAATATAGTTCAACCTCTTCTGCTTTCAGCCCTAGTTTCTTCTCCACTCCCTTCTCTTCTTCTCTCTTGTTATTACAGAAACCTGAGTTGTTAGACTGTTATCTTCATTAAATTAATCTGTTTAGAGCCGAACATATGGTATTGGAGCACCTGTGATCGCCTAAAAGAATTCTTTTTATCTTTCTATACCCAATGAACCAGATTTCTCTCTCTACCATCAGGCAGTTGCAGTAAGGCCCATAAAGGATTGATCGCCCTTAAGAAAGGAGGCTTTCATGCCTCATGTTGAGTGCAATTTTGGTGTTTTGGTGTAGTAGTGCCATCCCTCTGCTTGGAGGTTCGAAGAGGGACAGTTTGAAGATGTTACAGGTTGGTTGCTTTAATTCTTTAAGTTTCTAGTGAATAGTACGTTTGAATAGTGCGGGTTGATGAGGTTAATCAGATAGAAGAAAAACAGCCTTTTGAAATGAAAGGACTGTTCAAGATATTGCAGAGAATTGATTTAGAATAGCAGAAATCAGGTTTCAAGAAGAGAGAAGGGGATGAAGAAGGTGGCGGCAATAAGGGTTCAGAGAGAGATTTCGAACATAATCTCCTCTTACACCCCTAATCCTATTTCATTAGCTTAAATTTTAGTAATTTACAGAGAGGCCCTTAGTTGGGCAGATAATTAAAAAACATAAGAGAAAAAAAGGCCCAAGTTGAGGCCCATTACAGCAAAGAACATAAACAGTCTATGGGCCATTCGGCCCATCTTCTCTACACAGATCATATTCATGTTCTTTAAGTTGACTAATATTTTGGGAAGTTTTTATGTGGTTTTCTTGGGTTGCAGCTATTGGAATTTAATGCTTTTGGGTATTGAAAATTGCTGTTTACTGCTTTTGTATTGGTGTGGTTGATTTTTTGGTGGAAGTAACCAGAGASGCATATTAGAATTATCTTTCTTTGTTATGTCATCATTGGGAAGTGAAGTCCAATGTGGTGATACAGCCAGACTTTATGGTTGTCCAGATGATTCCAATAAAGCTTAATGGTGCAAATTATGTAACTTGGGCAGAATCTGTTGATGTAAATCTGGCTGCCAGGGGTAAGTTGAAGTACATCAAGGATAATAAACCAGATTCAGGAATTGCCGGATATAGTAATTGGGTGCAAGAAAATGCAATAGATTATGACTTGTCTTTGGAATAGCATGGAACCAAAGATTAGTGTGAACTTCATGTTCCTAGATACAGCCAAAGAGATATGGGATCATGCTAAACAATTATATTCCAGCCAAGATACTATGACAAGAATTTATCAACTTTATCAAGAATATTTTCAGTTGCAACAAGGTGACAAGACTATGGAAGATACTATGCTAGTCTCAAGAGTTTGTGTAATGAATTGAATTCCTACTATCCACTACCAAATGATCTGACGGTACAACAGCAACAAAGGGATCAATTGGATGTTGCCTTGTTTCTTTTAGGATTGTGATCTGAACATGTTCATGCACAAGTTCTGGGTAATACTGATATTCCTACTCTCTGAGAAGCCAGTTTCAAAACCATAGATTGATAGTTCTCCCATGTCTGAGAAGTCTACTCTAGTTCCAACCAAGGGTGGCAGAGGTGTATGTTGTAGAGGTGGCAACATTAGAGGTGGTAGAGATGGAGATACTGCTAGAGGCTGAGGTATTGATGTACATGGTACAGTGCATGAGTGTAGACATTGTGGGTGTTAAGGACACACTATTAACTTTTGCTATGATTTACATGGCCCACCATCAACATGGGCCAATCATGTTCAATTAGAGAGGATCGTGGTACTACTAGTGATGACTCCTTTGCTTTAGGTTCTAGGAAGGAGAAGGAGATGATATCCATTATGAGGAGTATGAGAAACTTCATTTATCCTCTTCTAGTAATATTTCTACTCTTGCTAAGTCAGGTACAGAATGCCTTGCATCTTCTTACTCTGGAGCCTCAGATTATATATCTGGGTCTCCAAACCTGTTTGTTTCTTTATCCCCTCCGTCTACTACCCAAACTGTTACCCTAGCCAATGGCACTACCTTTGCCATTTCAGGTATAGGTAATATCACACTTAATTCTAATTAGACTTTGCCTTCTATGCTATATGTTCCTAAGTTTTCTTTCAGTCTCATGTCTATTAATTTAACAAAAACTTTTAATTGTCCTGTTTAATTCTATCCTTCTTATTGTGTGTTCCAAGATCTCAAGATGGGGAAGACAATTGGTGGCCGGCTTGAAGTTGGAGGACTGTACCATCTAGATGATGGTGGTTCGCAGAAAGCTTTACATACAACACTTACACCTCTACAGTGGCATTGTCAGTTGGGCCATCTGTCTCTTCTCATTCTTAAGAAGCTAGTTCTAGTTTGGCTTCTATTACAGGGTTGTAGTTTGAGTCTTGTTAGCTTAGTAAACATCAAGTGTCATTTGTTCCAAGAAATAATAAGTCTCTAGACCTTTTTGTACTTGTCCATTCAGATGTGAGGGGTCCTAGTCGTGTTGATTCATATAATGGATCTAAATATTTTGTTACATTCATTGATGATTAGTCAAGAATAACTTGGTTTTATTTAATGAAAGCACATCCAGAATTGTTTGCTATTTTTCTCTCTTTCTATGCTAAAATTCAAAATCAATTTGGTGTTTCCATTAAAATGTTTCATGATAATGCAAAGAAATACTTTCAAGGACCCTTCAAGTTATTTTTTGATTTTCATGGCATTATCCATAAATCTTTTTGTTCGCATGCACCGCAACAAAATGGTGTAGCTGAATGAAAGAATAAACATTTACATGATATACCTCGGGTTCTCTTAATTCAAATGTAAGTTCCTAAAATTTATTGGAGTGATGCTATCCATAAATCTTTTGTTTGCATACACCACAACAAAATGATGTAGCTGAATGGAAGAATAGACGTTTACTTGATATAGCTCGGGTTCTCTTAATTCAAATGTCAGTTCCTAAAATTTATTGGAGTGATGCTCCTACATCTTGTTTCCTAATAAATTTTATGCCCTCATTAGTCCTTGGTGGTAAGTTTCCATTCTCTTCTTTTTTCCTTCATACCTCCATTTCCTCTTCACTCTTGTGTTTTTGGATATGGTTTTCTTTCATAGACATGGTCCTAGGTTGGATAAACTTAAACCTCGTGCTCTCAAGTGTTTGTTTCTGGGATATTATCAAACCGGAAAGGTTACAAATGCCATTGACCTACTCTCTGCCTATCTTTTGTTCTTTCTAATGTTTTTTACTTTGAGAATGTGCCTTTTTTCTCTGTAGTTGAGTCTCTCTCATCTCCACTTTCTCTCCCTCTTCCTATTGTAGAGATTTCGTTATCGACTCCCACCTTTAAGGTGTTTACTTGACTTCCAGTTCACACTTTACAAAGTGTACGCCAAAAGACTATGGGGAGTCTTTACTCCAGCTCCAACTTCTGCTGAGCCATCATTGGTTTCACTGTCAGCAGATCTGCCTGATCTGGACTTGCTTATTGCCCTTTAGAAAGGTAAACACACTTGTACCATCCTTCCTATTTCTTGTTATGTGTCTTTGATCATTTGCATCCTGTTTAGCAGAAATTTGTATCTCTTCTTTCATCTATACCTGTTCCCAGGTCTGTTCAGGAAGCCCTTGTCTCACAAGACTAAAAGAAGGCAATGGATAAAGAATTTTATGCTCTTGAGTCTAATCATACTTGGGATCTCACTCCTCTCTCTCCTAGGAAGAAGGTAGTAGGTTGTCGGTGGATTTATACCATTAAACATCAGCCTAATGGCAGGAGAGGTATAAGTTACAATTGGTGGGCAAAAGAAATATCTAGACACATGGTGCTGATTAGATTGATATTTTCTCTCCAATTTCTAAATGGGGTTTGTGCATGTTATTATTTCTTTGGCTACCCACTGATTGGCCATTGTTTTCAGTTGRATGTGAAGAATTCTTTCCTCCATGGTGATCTTCAAGAGAAAGCGTATATGGAGCAACCTCTTGGGCATGTTGCTCAGGGGGAGGTAGGGAAGGTATGTAGGTTAAAAAAAGCAATGTATGCACAGAAACAATTGTTGCGAGGTTGATTTGATCAGTTTAGCAGTGTGGCACAGTAGTTTGGACTGCAATAGTGTAGTGTCRACACTATTTTTAGTAGAGATACATCTTCTGGTAAGATTATCCTGGCGTGTATGTTGATGGTACTATTATTACAGGGAGTGATATACAAGGAATTATGGAGTTGAAACAGTTCTTGTAGCAGTTTCAGACCAAAAACTCAGGGCACTTGAAGTATTTTTTGGGTATTGAGATAGAAAGGTCGAAGTGGGGAATCTCTCTCTCACAGAGAAAGTATGTTCTTGATTTGTTAGAAAAAGAAAAGAAAAAAACAAGATTACTAGGAGCAAAACTAATGGATACTCCTATTGATCTAGATGCTAAGTTGTTTAATAGTGAAGGGGAGCTCCTAGATGATCCTAGCCCTCCTAGGAGACATAGAAGAATAGTGGTAAAACTCATCTATCTCACCATCATGAGGCTAGACAATTCCTTCAGTATGGGATTATTAAGTTAGTTTATCTAAAGCCCAAGGACAAGTCATTGTGAAGGTATAGTTAGGGTTCTACGCTACTTGAAGGGTGCTCCAAGTCAAGGGTGGTTGTATAAGAAAGGGGGATGAGCTAAGTGCAGTTAGGGGTTTGTGGAAAGGACCTTGATGTTGTCCTCCTTGTGAGGCAAATGTAAGCTTTCCTGGAGCGAAAACCATTGGATTGGCACTTGGGGTTTATAAGATAGGGCTCTGCTATGGGAGTCGTAGTGCCTATGAACTGAGACAATATTTTGATAAGGTGTTTGAAACCTAGTATTATATCAATCTCCTAATTGCAGCCACTTATTTGTCCTTGTATAAGTTGTACCACCAATCCATGGTTTTTTATCCCAATAGTGGCTACAAAGTACAAAATGCTGTGAGGCATTCTCCATAAAAAGTACAATGTTCTTCCCTGAACTCAAACTGCTGAAATTAGTAGAGGTAATTACAGTACAAACAAAATTAATATGGATAGAAATTAACTTATGCTAAGTTGGCATTGGTCTATTGGGTGAATATTAATTGATTAATAGATGAGTTTGCTAATATGCTATGTTTGATGTCTGACCATAAATAGTTTGCTGTGTTTCTGCATGGAACTATGTCAGCATGTACAAAATCTTGTGTCAGATCTTACTGCTTGATACCAAATTCAAGTAACATTGGCTTATTCATTTTCTTCAGAATGTTAGATCAAACTATCAGAGTGTTAACAGCCCAAATTCTGCAAAAGCAGATAGCTCATCAGTTGGGTGACCTGGTGAATATTGTACAGTTGTTGCTCATCACTTGCAGCTGAAGATACATTGAAGTAGGCAGTTCTCTGGTAACAGTGTGCTTAATCTCAAGATGGTGTACCGTCTGTGGTTGACAAATGTACAGAATTCCTAGTTTCCATAGCTTTACAAATACCCAGATCACTGTTTAAATTTAATAAATAGGCATCTTGTACTTTAAAGTTTAAATGATGCCAATCATACATGTATAATATGTTGAAACCAAAATTTATCCAATTCTTGTAATATGTAGGTTATTTTTTGAGAACATTGACCACCGAATTTGTAGTTGTAGTCATTGACTTGTTTTTGTTGTTGCTGTTGTAATCGTTATTCTTGCTACGTTTGTTACATTCCTTCTGTCTGTGTTTCCGGGGAGGAGTTGAGCTGATTGGAGAACAGTTCACTAATTCAAGTCTATTTTAAAAGCAATACTCAAGCCCATAGCAGTTTCTCAAATGGTTTACCAAATTCAAGGATGCAGGAGAAATGACAAACTTAAATGTAAAAGCTTAATGATGGTAATTTAATAATTGAGGAGATCAAATACAAACATGAGAAAGGGAGTATCTAAGTAAAGTTCTAAATTACGAGGTAATTGCATGGCAAGAAAGGGTGATTAATTACTCTTTGGTATGTAAGAATAATAGCCTTGTTTTGGAATGTAGACTCATTGAGACATAGTATGTCTGTAGAGAAGGCAATAGAGATTCATGTGAAGCTTAGAATTTGGTTTACTGAGTTAAAATTTTATCAAATTATACCTCAGTATGCTATTTATCTTTCTTGATTCACCATATGCATTCCTTTTATGTTTGAAATCTTCTCAATTCAAAACTGCTCTTGGTTTTGCTAGACACATGGAATTAAATATATATTATGATGATGCATTCATCCATTTATGTTACAAGTGCAAGCTTTGAGGGAGACGGGATGTCATATGGATGGCCTTCTTTGCGTTGCTGCTCAGCTTTTTGGTGTTGCTCATGATTCTTAGGCTCTGCCTTAGTATGTCAACTTCCCTTTCCTTCTTGATTCTCTCCTCCTCCATTGCAGCCACTTGAGCCTTTAAGACTTCGACTACTTCTTCCTTGGCTTTCAATTCCCTCTTCAGCTCTTCCATCATGTTTGCCTCTGCTCCTGAGCACAAACTCTCTCCTACAAAGATAAGCACATGTCAATGATCTGATACTTTKTWCCCATTGCCAAACCTTCAAACCAATAAACTTACAGGCCATACAGGTTACCAGATTTCAGTTTACGAATGTGAATTGGGTCAAGTCAACAACAAATAAGACAGAATGTTAACAGGATTTCTATTGCTCTGTATGATCTGTTGAACCAACATTGTAAGGACCACAAATCCACACACTCATGATTATGTAGAGTAATTTTGAGAGCAATTATTTGGGCAAATCTGAAGTTTATTTACTGTGGATCCGTACAGTAATAGGTATTGAGGGACCAAAGTTGATCCATGTTCTCCCATGTCAGACCAATGATTTGATTAGCAGCCTTGGCTGCAAGTGAAATATTATTATAATGGGCTGCAAGTTGTAGGGGACCAAACTAAAAAGAAAAATGTGACCGACAACATGGGTTGTTGATCTAATGGGTTGTAGGCCCATGACTGCCTTATTAAATTAGTAAATGGAATCCACATTTCCAACTTGTCCTTTACAAGAAATGCTTAATCACTTGGGTGAATGGCAAATCTGGCATCTGAAAAGCAGAAAAGCTCATTTTAGAGATCTTATATCTTAAAATAGCAATTCTGCTTTTTTGCTTTTTAGAGTTTTTGTAATATTAAAAAGGGCATTTTAGTCATAACATGTCTGAGCACATTTTACGCATGGACCATCTCTTAGTCTGTTACCAAATCAGACCTACTATCGCTTTTGCAATGGTGCAAACATCGACACAAGGAAGATCCAAAGATCCCTATATTTAAATATAGGGTTCCCAGAAGGGTTTAAGGGATTTGATCATCAGCCCTTCTTTTCAGCAAAGGGGGGCCACCCCATATTACAAGGACGGAGTACTCTTAGGGAAAGACAAAAACAGTCTCCTATAATCATTTTTATGAGCATAAGCAAGCATCTTCCATCTTTTCATAATGGGGTCTGTCTCAATTATGAAAAAGAAGGGAGACCAAAGAACTTGCTCCTAAATTATTATATTCTTCTCCATCCAACTCATCTAATGAGAACCCACAAGGAAGTAGCTTCAATATTATGTTATCATTGGCATTTTGATTCTGATTGCAGTCTCCAATGAGATATGGCTGGAGTTGTTTCTGAAAATGCTGGAGAAAGGTTTGATTTTAATGGTCTAAAACAACATCTTAATGCCCATCAAATAGAGATGGACGCTTAAGCAATGAGCCTCATTATAATAAATTAATAATATCAAAACACAAGGGTCTTTTTGGTTATTTAACTGACACCTTCATCAGCCAGGGATCCATTCACATCATGTGGCTTCAAAGTCTTCTAATGAACTATAATTTTGTAGGCTTGCAATTCAATGCCTAGCAAAGAAATGTAATCTGCCTTTGCTTTAATGTGTGTGTCAGACAGAAATCATGTTAACCCATAAAAAAATTCTGACTCATCCTCTAACGGATTTTGTGTGTGTCTGTGAAAGAGAGAGAAGAAGGGGATGCTAACTTACCATTAAAACCAGGAGTCTAGCCCATGAATTCTATTTTTCATATGGGGATTGCTTATCTCACCCTCGATCTAAAATTAGAGATGTACATTGTGTCCATGTAAGGTGGTGTAATTGTTAAACCACGTACACCTCCATGTGAAAAGACACAAACACTTTTAGCAATGGACACGTATAAAAGCAATGGCGAGAGTAGGTCTCTAACCCTACTTGTATGATTAGCATTAGCATCCTTCTAAATTCCTAATTGTGGGTCTTCCCTCTTCCGGTCGTCTTCCCCCCCGCCCCACAAAAAAAAAAAAAAGATTGTGAGTTGGGTTCACAGACATCTCTTGGAATATTGCAACTGAAAGTATAAAGAGAAAGAAAACCAATAGACCAGATGATTCAGATCATTTTACTTGGTTTTAAACCTAAGAAATCTCACATTACCCTCCCATGAATTGATGGGTTAACAACCATCCTTATTTGAAACTAATAGGAGTTGGATTTACACTGAATTTTTGTTCTATACTTGAATGTTCTTGAGCAACTGTCTATGAGTAGTGTTCTAGAAGTGAAAAATAAACTTAATTCCCTCAGATCTAAGGCGAGTCAAGCAACTCAGCTAGTTCAATGGGTTGACTGCTAGTTGCTACTACCTTAGAATCAGTTACGTGGATAATCAAAGAAATGAGTTGCCAACTGAGCCTACTGAACCGGCGAAGCTATTAAATGAAAACCGAGTTAGCTAGAGGGGGTATGAATCAGATGGCAAGTTAACCAGGAGCCTAAACAGAAAATTCCTTGAAGTTGCAGATCAGCAAATTCAGTGTCTCTCTCTCTCTGTGTATGTGCATTTAGAGAGAGAGAGAGAGAGAGAGAGAGAGAGATGGCACCTTGATATGTCCTGTGAATGAGGTCATCAAGTTCAGTCTTGATAGCTAAGTAGAGACTCTTCCATTTTTCGATGGCCTCGTCACGGCGAGCCTGTTCCTCCATCATGTGCTCGACCAAAATACTGGTTCCCAGCATTTCCCACTCTTTGTCGCTTCTCCCAACTACCATCTCATCTTTCATCCCTCGAATTATCATTTCCTTCTCCTCCAGCTTCTTTCTCAACCTCTTCACCTCCTCTCTCAGCTTCCTCCTCTCCCGCTTCCACTCCGCTTCCCTGAACAAGAACACCTTCCCTTGCTGCTGGTACGTCCTGCTCTCCTTATCTCTCTTGCACCTTGCCTCGTCGATCTCCTCCTGAAGCAGTGTTATCTTCTCTCTGAAATCCTCCAGATCGATCTCACACGAGTCACAGTTGCTCTTGCTTGCAATGCAACCCATCTCAGATCTTCTTTCTCTTTGCTAGCTCACTCTAGTCTAGTGATGATAATAATGACCAGATGAACATGGAGTAAGATTCTCAGATTCTGTGGTGGCGATGATCATGACTGCTGGTTCATTCTGGATTTGAAGACACAGATTATTCCCTGAAGAAACTCCTACACCTACACCTTCATCAATGGATATATATACTTGTCCAATTTTTCTACATTTTCATCACTCTTTAGGCCTAGTACTACTACTGCTGAGAGCTAGACTTAATCATTAAAGGCAGCTTCAACCAAGCCCGTGAAGAGCTGCCTAAAGTTATATAAAAAGATTTAGACATGGTTTAATTTGCAAGCTATATACATACTTAAAATACAAATTATAATACATATGTTAGGAAAATGATGGAAAACAAATAATTTCCTTGGAATATATATATATATATATATATATATATATGACGATATTTTATAAGAAAATTCATCATTTTTCCGGTATTTAGCTTAACTTGGAAAACCCATTTGACTGATCGGAAATATACAAGTGCATGTCGCAAGGTGCAACTTGTTTAGAAAAATGACTTATGGAAATTAAATTAGAAGGAAATGCCATTTTCCTCCAATTACTACTCACTTTTTGGAATTAAAATATTCATTTTCCATGGCAATTTTACGTGTAATTTGGAAATCAATCATTTTCCTTTGTGTTTATGTGAAAAAAAATCAAAATTAATATAATATAATATATATATATTAAATTATTAATATTACGTGGATGAGAATGACACTACATTATTGTGAAGCAGGAAACGATGAGTAGAAACTCTAGAAGCGTCATCTTATTCATCCCACTGACAAAATCCAGTACAAGCTAAGACTCAACCTGGTTGAAATTATGGTGTAAAATTGTGTACTTTTCCAACTCGATCGACACACTTCATTTAATGGTCCTTGTAAACTTACCAAACAGGCCATTTTTTTACGGTTGTCACCAGTACGTACTGTTTATCAAACGAGTTAAACTGAGTTTGGCATTTTCGAACAGACCGGAAAACAACTCGACCCGGCTGAACAGTACTCCCTAAATAGGCTCCTGTGGCCTGTATATTCTGTTATGCCTCACATGTGTAGCTCTCAGTGGATTGCATTGGATTCCTAACACGAAAAGGACATCTAGTTATTGTTTGGACTGCAATATTTTTTTGCACAGGAAGGAAAGGAGTGCATATTTTACACCAATTTAGGACCCATTTGATAATTCTCTTATTTCATGATGATCAACTGTGGGGAATGATGCGCATTTGTTGTTTGCATTCTTTTTTGTTTTGCAATAATTTAGAGGTGTTGGTTGCATCCTAAGATGCTCAAGAGATAGGGAGAGGAGTCTGGGCCGTTCATCCATGGAGCCCAGAACTTGGAACAAAGGGGCATGACCATATGAGGGCCCATGAATCATGCAACTATAGGCACTAGATTATGTTGGGGCCGGAGGACATCCTGTCACATGATAGGGGAATTGGGTTGGGCCCCATCTAAGAGGTTGGCCAGATCAAGGATTCCCTTATTTAACCAATCTATCCACATTTTGGTTAGGCTCCATCCAAGAGGCTGGACCCGAATCTTTTGAACATAGGACAGGGAGAATTATGGGTGGGTTTCGCTTCCTAGTCTGGCCACATCTACAAAGCTAGATATTCTCAAGTATCCCTTGGTACCATGCCAAATATTCAGTTCTAGCTCCTGAGATATGGAGAAACAGAAGAGCAGTGCTACAATGGGGATACCCTTATCATCATAGGAGTTATAAGGTGAACCCTTGATGGGTGTATTTCTTTGTCGAGCTGCAAATTTTGTAGCCTTTTAGCCTACCAACTAGCTAGCCAACTACTATATGGGTGAAGCACTATTATATTGATGTCATAACACTTGGGTGGATCCTCTCCCGGCCCTCAAAATAAAGAAATGAGGATTGGTAAATGGTGTCAGGGTTCCTACATTATTAATTAGGTTTTTTTTTTAATTTGGCTATTAGGATCGATCCATTGTTTTAATCAATTTCCTTATTACATGTTAAAATTTTGTAATTATCCTCATATAAACTGAAAAACCAGAATATGAACTTATATTTGATAGAATGCATGGCTCTTGATGGTTAACGTAGCCAACCTCATCAGGGTGTTGAAAAGCTGTGTTGGGTTGAGACTATGAAAGAGCATATATACTCCATTTCAAACTGTAATTAATGATCTCACTTGATTGGCATTAATCATTTAATTGTATGTTTCATTGATACCTAAATTTATCAAAATTAGATATTTCCATGTATATGATTTGAAGGATGAGAGATGCATCGTATGGACGCCTAAATCTTGTGGAATAAAGGGGCGGATTTCAAAAAAATTTCCCTCCCTTCAACTGGGAATCGCATTCCCTATTTAGAAAATCATATTTTCAATGATCAATCTTGAACCATAAATTGAACCAGATCTAAACCAAAAGGAGTAAGAGAGGATTATACCTGATACGGAGAAATAGTATCTCCCAACGAAGATGTTCACGCCCAAGGAAGGATCTAAAGACTGTTCCCACTGAATATGGCGCAGTACAGGATGGAGCAAAATCAGCAGTATTCTTCTCCAAAAATTCTGTCATTTGCAAGAAACAGCAGGATGGCACGTGAGCACAGCTTCCTATCAATTCTTTCTCAAAGAACTGATGTCAAGATCGAATCTTGACTTCTCCCACAACTAGAGATCGAATTGGATGTCTGGCAGCTGCAAGAAAGAGGTGGCAAGAAAG